CCCATGATTCAATCCCAAAGCACCACATAAGTAAGGCATGTTCTGTTGACCTGTAACCCTTGGAAGATGGAGACAGGCGGATCAAACGTTCAAGGACATCTACAAAAGTTCACAGTCACCTCCTGATACATAGTGAATTCAAGGCAAGTCTGGATTACATAGATTCTATCTCAAAACAAAATATCCAGTAAAAAAGATTATAAATATACCAATACAAGGAAATGAGAAATATTGGAGAATACGCAAATTACCCCAGCTGATCACTACACATTGTATAAGGAAGTATCACATTGTACTCCATAAATATGTATATGTCCATTAAAAATAAAACTAAGTAGTAAGATCAATCCATGGAGCCTTGACAAATATAGTCACATGCCGAATAACGACACATCAGTCAACAGAGGCCAGTTCATAACCATGGTTCTCTAAGGAGTGGAGACTGAAACATTCCCATGACCTGATATTTTGATTGGCCTTCTCTGTTTGGATACAAGGATCCTTACCACAGAGTTGTAGCAGTCTACCCCGCCTAGGCCTGCGCGTCCAGGTTTATGTAAATCCATGCTTTCGTGTTTGCACAGTGACATCACCTAATGACGCCTCCCTCAGACACATCCCCGTGACTAAACAACACATAACTATCCTAACAGTTGATGGTGTGGTGTTCACCATGTGCCATTCACTCTCACTCACAACGACCCCGTGTGGCAGGTACTATTATGACGTCTAATCAATAGATTAGGATTGAGGTACAGCAGACACATGAGATGATCTACCCAGGGCCACCCACTGATAAAGGGCAGAGTCAGACCCCAAACGAGCGCTCTGCCTCGCAGGGGCACACCCTTAGCCACAGGCTGCTCTGACTGGCGGTTACCTTGGTTGGGCCCACATAGTCCTCAGTCTCTACGCCAGCCCTCTCCAGCATGGCGTCCATCACGTCACCCAACCGGATCACTTCTACTCTCTTATTAGGTTTCCTAAAGATCCAAGGGACAGACTTAGGTAAGGAGCATCCCGGGCCATCCTCAGATGAAAACGAAAATGTAAAATGTTTCAGGACTATATACACTATGGAATTAACTGAGGGCAATTTGAAGGGGCAGGACCAGACATACTTATTAAGTGATATACCACTAACATAGTTTAAAACAATAAAAATGAAAATAGTGTCATTTTTTCTTAAAAGAAAAATAATTCTGACTCCCAAAGGTGCTATATAACGCATGTGGGATGATAGGAACACAGAAAAAAAGGAGGGACCATAAACACTAAACTTAAACACTGGGTAGTTCACACTGTGAAAGACAAAAGATAGACAGCAAAGCAGAGAGATTCTGATGCTCAATGCACAGAATATAAAAACACACTCCAGTGCTTGCGTATCGTGCTGTGCATACACTATCTGAATATGCAATTGGTCGCAGAAACACAACTAATTGAATCATGGGCTCACAGGCAGTTATTACCTTGGGCCTCTGCCATGACTTGAATGTTTTTGTCTAATAAAATACCAAGGAAAGGGCCATGTGTGTATGTGGTCACCCTGTCCAAGAACACGTCAGAAAATCTCCCGTACTCACATGGACGGGAAGAGCAACAGCCTGTTCTCACTGTCTGTGAGGAGGGTGGTGTATTTGCTGCAACAGATACAATAAGGAAATGTCACTTTAAGAAAACAGTCGGGCTGAAGAGTACAGGTCAGTGCTGGAACATGAGGCCCTGGAGCAGAGCGAGAGGAAGGGTATGAGAGGACAGTATCCGGCCTGTTCATCAGTTAGCACACCCCATACCCGGCACCTGGGTTCCTAAGAGCCATTCTCCACCAAATGAAACCCATGCTCTCTAGAGAAACTGCTGGGGACTCACTCAGGAATGAAGATAGAAAAAATTACACCATGATAAACCAAAGACCTCAATGGAATTTAAAAGCTTGGATGCAATTTTAAAAAATCATGTGCATACAAGATCATCCATAAAAATCTACACAGAGATATAATGACATTGATCATATGTGGAACATTTCTAGTAAAGGATATTCAATTCCATTCCTTGATATATCAAAATACAAAGATTTACTTGATTCATTAAAAAAAAAAAAAAGACATGCCTGCAATCCCAACACCGGGGAGGTAGAGGCAGGAGAATCAGTTAATCTCATCTCCTCTACAGAGAGTTCGAGACCTACCTGAACCACATGAGACTTTTTTAAGGCCTTTGAGAAGGCTCCACAGGTAAAGGCACTTGTCACCAAGCCCAACAATCTGAGTTTGATGCCTGGGACCCACGTGGTGGAAGGGGGAACTGACTGCCAAGAGCTGATCTCTGATGTCACCCCCTGAACACACACACATAAACAATACAATTAATAACAACAAAACTGCCTTTTGGCATTTTCAAAGATGGCAGGGTGGGCTTGGGAGGTAGCTTGATGGTAGGGCCCTTGCTGGCATGTGCAAAGCCCTAGATTCAATTCCAGTACCAAAAAAAGGAGAAAGAAAAGAAAAACAATGACTTTGCAATAGTTAACTGTTATTTTAGAGAATTAAAACAAGACTCTGTTTTCAAATGCATAAATAGGAATCAGCTAATGATGAAATGACTAATGTGCAGTCTGGAACAAAGCCCTAGAGACGGGCATACAGACCACCTTCCATTGTCTGTGTGGGCACTGCTCAAACCCCTTCCACAGCTAAGAATTTGAGAGACCAGCAGTGGTGGTGGCACACACCTTTAATCCCAGCACTAAGGAAACAGAGACAG